TTAAGCTCAAACTGCTCTTCTAGTTGTAGAATCTCCAGTTCCTGTTGTAGTCTTTCCCTTTCTTGACGAGTTGCCTGAGGTAGATTTACACCAATTTATCAAGTGTAAGCGACAATGAGCTAGTTTAGAAGCCATATAATACAGTGGAGAACCAGAACGATCTATAGACCAGCCTTAAAAGATAACTCCCTCATATCCATCTTGGAGATGCCTTTTCAACTGATATCTAAACTGCCTCCTAAATATAGCAGGAATTGCTCTTAAGCATAATAAAAGAGGGCAGTGATCAGATCCAATTCTGGTACAATGAAATAATTGGGCGCTGGGGAATATCTGGCTCCATTGATAATTCATCAAGGCACGGTCCAACCTTTCCCTTATGTTGACTCTGAACCATGTGAATTGTGCTCCTTTATATGCTAATTCCCTGAGAGAGCAAGAGCAAAGTAACTCCTTCAAAATTCTTTTGTCTGTTGTCAATGAAGGACGTTTGCCCTTTTTTTCACTACTGTCCCCAACTAGATTTAAATCACCCATAAGCAACCATGGAACGGCATCAGGACGGCTTAAATTCAACACTCTATTACACATATTCCTTTGCAATTGAACATTTGGTTCTCCATATACTAACGAAAAATGCAATGAGGTAATAAAAGCAGCATCTGAACAGCACACATCAAATATATTTTTGTTAGAGTAGAAAATTGAAATATGAATACCCTCAGTACACCACAAGGCGAAACCCCCTAAAGAGCCTTGTGGCTCAACATAAGAACTGCTTGAAAAACCAAGCTTCCTTTGTAACCGCTCCAAGTATTTCTTTGGTTTTTTAGTCTCCATAAAAAAAACTAAGTAAGGGCAATATTTAAAGATGAGATTGTTAAGCAGCCTTCATGTCAAGGCTTGCCCAAGGCCTTGACAATTCCATGACACTATATTCATGTTGGAGGTGGTAGCTGCCATGGGCTAGCCACCAAGGCCCCAAAATGGCAAACATTAGAATGTAGTTGCTCAGTTAAATTTGATGAAGAACTACTGTAGTAGGATAGAGGATTACTTGGAGCAGAACCCAACACTGGAACAAAAGGAACAAAAGGGAGGTTGTCCAATGATCTTTGAGTTGGGTAAAATAACTAGATTAAGTTGAACCGAGGATCTAGCTAAAAACGAAGTGGTCGATGTAGAGCTTTCGAACGAATTTTTCTTCTTACTCGTTGGACCGAAATCAATTCCTCCACATCCATGAAGAAACCTTCTTGGTCTTGTATATGAAAGTCAAATGGCAAAAGGTGCAGATCACCCCCTAAACTCAACAACTGGTGGCAAATCACCCCCTCAACACACTTCACCGGCAAATCAACCCCTCAACTCACCTGCAGTGGCAAATCAGCCCCTCTATTAAGCTGACATCATCATCCGTTAACTTTTAACG